GTCACTTTAACACACTGCCCCATAAAGGTACTGTCACTTTAACACACAGACCACAAGGATTAGAGTTCCTTTAACGCACTGCTCGATTAACACATTGATCCCTAGAGGTACTGTTCCTTTCGCATGGACACTTAGGTGTGCTGTCCCCTTTAACACACTGAAGGTTAGTGTCCTTTTAACACACTATTCCATTAACACAATGACCCCTAGGAGTACTGTCCTTTTAAACTATTGATCCCTGGGGTACTGTCCCTTTAACAGACAGATGCAGGGGGCAGTTCTGAAGAAGGGTCACTGGACTCTGAACTGAAAACCCTGCTTTCACTCCACAGATGCTGCCAGACCCACTGAGTTTCTCCAGCAGGTTTTTGACGATGAGGTAGTGGTCCATTATTTAAAGGTTTCCAATCCTGTTATCCTTACATCAATATTGTTTGTTGGTTGAGTACCCTGAAGCCGTGAGCTGTTATTGGAGACCCCACACTCACCGCTCTTGTCCTGCAGTATCCCAGAGCTGAAGGGCAATATGTCTGTTGTCCACTGTCAAGGTCTTCACTCGATAGTCCATCCCTGCAATCATGGGAGAAGAGATCAGCAACGGGCAGCAGGACAGGGAATAGTCCTCCTATTAGCAGCACATTCCTCATCTTTGAGGAAAGATTTCCTTCACCGTAGGGTGAAGCCTACATCAATCTGATTACTGCAGTATCGCCAAGGTCAGGGCCTGGACCAGTTACTGTGTAACTCAAGCCTGGCCTAGTCCAATGGCTACATATCATATCACTGTGAGCACAACTATGTGCCACCCTCAGACACCAAGACCGTTCTGTCTCACACATCATACAGCACATTCACTGAGTTAGGAAGGAATGGATTCAATCCAGAGACACAAACTCATCATCCAGGCTGACAGTCCAATCCTGTGGCCTATAGCCTGGTGTTATATGACTTTTGACTTTATCCACCCCAGTCCAACATCGGCATCTCCACATCAAAGGTCATTACTAACACTGATGTTTGTGGGTTCGTACAGTGCACCAGTTGACTTGTGTTGCTTTCAAAGGACAGGTTCCACGTTGTGTGATTATAGTTTAATTAAATAGACTGCTGCCCTTTAAGGCAAAAATAGGACAAATAGGAGATTTGTTCAGGCCATTTAAACTGATAAAGGGCCCAGACAGAGATAATCAGGAGACCGTTTCCAATAGGTAAAGGGGTGATAAGCACAGGCTACAGATTGAAGACAAAGGACTTGAGGAAATGTGAAGAGAACAAATTTGTGGAATAGCAGTTAGGTATTGGAATGCCTTGCTTTGAGTGGGTGGTGGATCCAAGCTGAGCAGTAAACTTCGAAAGGAAGTTGCAATAAAACTGGAAGAACATTTAAAAAATACGGAGATATAGGGATGATTGAGGGAATGTGACTAAACAGATTTCTCTCTGAAAGAGGCAGTGCAGACTTGATGCGCTGAATGGTTTCCTGCTTTTCTGTACTATTTAATTATTCTATGACCATGATCAATTACACTTGAAAACTAATTTCATTGGCTTTAAACTCTCCAATGGTGAGAACAGGTACTATATCAATTCAAGTCTTTCTTCTACCTACCTGCTCAGGGAACTCTATCTGACAATGATGTGTGTACCAAAAAAAAATTCATACAATGCTGCACATATTCCCAGGGGATGTCAAAGTGATTGAGAGCTAACCAAACACTTTTGACATGTCATCATTCTTCATATACAACCAGAACTGTATACAGTAAGAGCCCATAAGTCTTGAATGAGACAGCTGGCCGACTTACCTAGTGGATGTGGGACTACTATTGGAAGGAAGAATTAAATCAAACAACATTAAAGGAACTGGCACTCATGTTAAAACCCATCGACCACTACGACACAACCTTGAATATTACAATGGAGCTTTGAATCACCAATTCCTGGGTTTTGCTTCAGTTTCAGTTGTATCACTTTCACAGGCTAACATCTGTATTTCACATGGTTAGCACTAACTAAGCTAGATAGTCCTGATAATGAAAACATTCACATCAAAATAATGTAGAAATGGAGCATGAAGGTTTCAGGCAATGAGGCCGTGAACATTTCCTCTGTTCTACTGTGGGACTGACTCAAATACTAACACTAACTAAACTGCCAGTGTCACCATAACTAACTCAGTCTGAAAGTGTTTCACTGACCCCACACTAAAGTTTCTGATTTACTCTGCTAGTGGATGATACTTTGTCTTAGAATACACTTTGTTGTTGATCTATGAGTGTTAACAAACTAGACTAGAGGGAGTCTAACTCTGCATTGTAAAGTAACAACCTGCATTTGTGTCATTTTGTTTGGTACTTCATGGGTTAGAAACATCGCTGGATGGGCCAGCATTTATTGCCCATCCCTAATTACCCACAGGGCAGTTAAGAGTCAACCACATTGGTGTGGGGTCTGCAATCACATGTCCAAAACTGGGAAAGGATGGCAGATTTCCTTCCCTAAAGGACACCGGTGAAGCTGATGGGGATTGAAATAACTCCACAGAGGCCAATATCCCATTACTGTTTATTTACATGTGGAGAGTCTGTTTCACTGATCCAGTTCCCTCAGAGCCAGCTGTCAGAGCGAACAGGATGTCTAACACTCCTGTTTATATCTGTCAACCAGGACTCCCTGATTGGACCAGGTTAACAGCCCCAATCAGGGAACTCATATTCTATGACTTGGCTGACCTCATTACAGTCACTACAAGGAAGATGCAGTGTTGCCATACCTACTGTGGAAGCTAACCCAGGTTTGAAACTATTGTCGTAAAACCGCTGAATGAAGGATGTTTTCCCAGCGTTGGCATTCCCAACAAACATGATGTTGTAGAGATGGTCAGGATCTTTGCTGCTTCCCACCTGAGGAGGAGAGAATTTTATAAAAAGGAGGAACACTACTTCAGTTCACAGTGTTACCGCTCCCATAGTAACCAACTGCAGCAAACACCTTGCTTCACAATTCAATACTCTCTCAAAACATTCTCTCATCTGCCATTTTAACAGTGAGTCCAGACTGTTTGTTTTCGATCAGACATCGCAAATCTCCTCACTCAGGAAGTACCGATTTAATATCAGGCTAGGCACAATTCCCTATCATTGCTCCAAGCTTATCGAACTGAATATGCTCGAACATACACAGGGTAATGTATTTACAGGAGAAAATAGCATTGGGTCATAGGCCCCACTAAAGGTCAGGTGTTAAAGGGAAAAAGACAGTGTAGGTAGTGGTCCAGGTAGTGGGATAATCCCAAAAATGATGCGATAATCCCAGCACAATGCGATAATCAACAAACACAGATAATCCCGAGACACACAGAGATATTCCTGAGGGACTGTGATAATCCCAGGCAGAGCAAAACCCGAAGGCAGGAGACTGCAGGGGCTTTCACATTAATTTTCAAATCCTTTCTTGCTGCAGGAGAAGTGCCAGAGGACTGGAGGATGACTAAACAAGCTGTGTATAACTTTCGTTAGGCCATAGCTGGAATACTGTGTGAAGTTCAGATCACCACCACGTGATTGCACTGGAGAGATGTTTCACCAAGACGTTGCCTGGACCAGGGTGACTCAGCTCTAAAGACAGGCTGGGGTTTTTTCCCTTAGAGTGCAGCTGGCTGAGGGGGAGACCTCAGTGAGCTGTACAAGGTTCTGAGGGACATAGACAGGGGAGATAGGGAGAAACCTTCTCCCTTATTAGAGGGATCAATAACCAGGGGACATAGATTTAAAGTAAGAGGCAGGAGGTTTAGAGGGAATTTAAGGAAAATTCCTTTCATCCAGAGAATGGTCTGTACCTGGAACACATACCCGAAAATGTGTTCAAAGTGGGGAACCCCCATCACAACATTTAAGTCACATTTAGATGAGTAACTGAAACACCACAGCATACAAGGCTCCAGGCCAGAAAATGGGATTAAAACAGATAAGTGTTTGATAACCAGCATGGACACAACAGGCCAAAGGGCCTGCTATAATCCCAGACAGTGAACTAATTGCAGACAGTGCGATAATGGTCAGACAATGGGGAGAATCTCTCTTCTAGTGATCTAAATTTCTCAGCCTCCAGACCTCCGTTGTCTGCCCTGGCCTTAGACTCACTGGTCCCCCTTCAACACCCTAACCTCTCTTGAAGGCTGAGAGGAAGATCAGCCATCTCCATGAGACTGAGGCCCTCCCCAGTGTGGACAGGCCTGCTCCCTGGGCCCAGCTACCTCTTTCATTCTCTCTCCTGCTCCATCACTTCCTGAAGTTGCTGCTGGTTCCTCAGTGACTCCATCTACGTCATCGCCCATCGCCACGGTCACATCCTGACCTTCGCCCCTCAGGTGAGCGAGTGCAGGGTCCTCTCCCAGTGGGGTCGGTTTTTGGGTCACACGGCGTCGGATGGAGCGAGTTCTCTGAAGTCTGAGAACCACGAATGACAGAGACAGAACACAGTTCCATTATAAGCGGCACAATTAAATCAAGCTGCTATTGAAGGAGTATCACAACTTGTTAGACTATTATCAGCAGGAGGTCATTCAGCCCACTCTGTCTGTACTGGCTTTCTAAATCAGTATCATGACTTAGCACCATTCTCCCACTCTTTTTCCATAAGTCTGAACATTATTTTAATTTAGTTCATCATCTAAATTAAAAAAAATAAAAAGAACAAAACCAATGGACCAATCACCATAGTCCTAAGCATTAGATACAGACATGACAAACGCAACTACCAAGTCCTGCTCACTAACACCTGGGGGCTAGTGCCAGCATTGGGAGAGCTGTCTCACAGGATAGGCAAACAACAGCCTGACACAGTCAAACTCTCAGAATCATACCTTACAGACAATGTCCCAGACACCACCATTACCATCCCTGGATATGTCCTCTCCCACTGACAGGACAGACCCAGCAGAGGAGGGGGTGGCACAGTGGCACACAGTCAGGAGGGTGTTGCCCTGGGAGTCCTCAACATTGATTCTGGACCCCATAAAATCTCATGGCTTCAGGTTAAATATGGGCAAGGAAACCTCCTACTGATTATAACGTACCATTCTCCCTCAGCTGATGAATCAATCCTCCTCCATGCTGAACAACACTTGGAAGAAGCACTGAGCATGGCAAGAGTTGAGAATGTACTCTGTCTCAGATGTCCAAGAGCAGCTCGGTAGCACCACTAATTACTGAGATGTCTAGAAGGATGTGGCTGCTGGACTAGTGATGAGAACCAAATGGGGGAGATAGTCTATTTTATCTCATTTCAACCAATCTATCTGTCACAGATGTGTCAATCTATATCAGTATTTGTGGGAGGGACCACCACGCAGTCCTCATTGAGACATGGTCTTGGATTTACATTGTCCGTGTGTGCTCCAGATTAGCCGTGCTTTAGTCAAGCCATTCCAGTTGATCTACAATATTGATATCTAACTGATAATGTAGAAATCTGCCCAGCTATATCCCATCCCCAAACAAATTTAATCTGCCAATTACCATCCTATCAGCTGACTTACAAACATTAGTAAATTCTTCAGCGTACTTATTGTAGTCAAGCACCATCATAGATAACATATAAAAGAAAATCTGACACCAAACCACATAAGGAAATATTAAGACTCCCTCGCAGAGAGGGAGAGAAAGTTTTGACAATGGAATTCTGGAGCTTAGAGACTCAGCAAGAGAAGGCCTGGTGACCAATGGGAAGAGCAGATGTGTTGTAGTTGATTTTCCAAATTTCCTTAGGTTCAGACTGGGACATAGAAAATATAAGCCCTCTATTCAAGAAAGTTGGAAGGCAGAAACAGGAAACTATAGGCCAGTTAACGTGATGTCCATCATGGGGAAAGAGTTAGAATTGATCATTAAAAAAAATCTGTGCACCTAGAAAAGCAGGGAATCTGTAAGAGTCAGCAGAGTTTCATCAAAGGGAAGGAATGTTTAACCAATTTGTTGGAGTTGTTTGAAGGAATAACATATGCTGGTGGATAAAGGGAAGTCTGTGGAAATACTGTCATTGTATTTCCAGGCAGCATTTGATAAGATTATTGTGAAAAATAAAAGCTCACGCTATTGGGGGTAACACATTAGCACAAACAGAAGATCAGCTGGCTGGCAGAAAACAGAGAGTAGGCAGATATGGTATTTGTCTGATTGGCAAGATGTGATGAGTGCTGTGACAAACAGCCTACATTATTCATGTTACTCTTTTCTGATCAGTGAAAGAGATGGCCACAATAAAGTAAATGCTTTATTCTCTGCTCGACATAACACTGTTGAGAGATTTAATGGATTAAGTGAAAGGTTGAAAACCAGGGGTCTGTGCTGGGGCCACTTTACATCAAATGACGTGGATGAGGGGAGTGAGAGTTATGTCACTAGATAGTTAGAAAGGTAAGTTATGAAGAAGACATAAAGAGTTGTATAAGGTTATAAATAGGCTGAGGGAGTAGACAGATGAAGTATAATGTGGGAAAACGTGAAGGTGTTCACTTTGGCAGAATGAATGAAAAACCAGAGTATCACTTAAATGGAGCAAGACTGCAGAATTCCAAGATTCGGGCATTCCAGTGCCGGAGACACAAAATGTTAGTGTGCAGGTCCAGCATGCAGTCAAAAAAAATGCTGGATGCCTTTACTAAGAGAGGAATTGAACATTAAATAAAAGTAAGGGTGTATTGCTTCACTTACACAGGGCATTGGGGAGTTCAAATCTCAAACACTATGTGCAGTTTTAGTCTCCTTATTTAGAAAGACAGCAAATGCATTGGAGGCGGTTCAGAGGAGCTTCAGCAGATTGATGCCCAGAATGAGTGAGTTGTCATATGAGGAAAGGTTGGACAGGCTGGGCTTGTTATCCACTGGAGGTTAGAAGAGAAGGGGTGATTTGACTGAAGTGTATAAGATCCCAAATTAGCATGATGAGATGGATGTGGAAAGGATGTTTTCTCTTTTGTGTTAGTTCACAACTAGGGGGCACTGACTGACAGTTGGGGGCACACACAGAGATGAGATGAACACCTTTCCTCTTAGAGGGTGATGCAACTTTGGAACTTTCCGTTTCAGAAAACGGTGGAGGCAGGGCCGTTGAGGGCTTTTAAAACAGAGGTGGGTAGATTCATGTTAGGCAGAGAATCTAGGGTCATCACAAGGGAAACAAGGGCGATTGCAGGGGAATCAAGGGTCATTGGAGGGTTATCAGAGAGGAACTGAGGGTCATCAGAAGGTCATTGGAGGGGAACGGAGGGTCATCAGAGGGAAACTGAAGGCCATTGGAGGTAGATGGACAAAATAGATCAAACATGATTTTATTGAATGGTGAAGCAGACTCGGGGGCCAAATGGCCTATTTCAGCTCCTATATACTATTCTTGTATGATTAAAGGTAGCAACGCTCAAGAGGCTAGAATTGGAGCAGTATGGATACCTCCATATGTTTTGGTCAGGAGGAAATCACAGACTTAGGAAGGGGTGAGCTATGGAGTGGCAAGTAACATGCATACTCCACACACTACACACCATTTTCAACCATCTCCCTTTGATGTCCACTGGTGTCCCCATCACTGCTATCAACACTGTGGGGGCTTACCATAGACTTGAAGTTAACCTCCAGCATTGGGTTGGTCAATTACAAAAGTGGATGAATGGAGAATGAATGAAAATGAAGTGATGATGGGTAGAATAAGTTAATCCAATTCTCAAGGATTGTGGACACATTTCAGTTCTTGTACTGAATCCATGTGTTGAAAAATCTTGGGTGACCTCTTACTGCCCACTTTCTGGTAGGGTTGGGGGGTCTCAGGTAACTCTGGGAATGGCATCACAAAACAAAGATTAGACTGAGTGCAGATGTTTTAAGGAGAGTGGCAGGAATTAGAGCTGCCTCAGAAGCAAAGGGACAGGTGTAAAGTTGGGGAACTTCTAAACAAGAAGCTCCAGGTCCAAGTCTCACTCCGGGACTGAAAGAGAAAGTGCTGCAGAAACTCAGCAGGTCTGAAACAGAGTTAACATTTTGAGTGCAGTGTGACCATTTTATTTATTCATGGGAACGTGGGTGTCGCTGGCTGGGCCAGTATTTATTGCTCGTCCCTAGTCGCCCTTGAGAAGGTGGTGGTGAGCTGCTTTCTTGAACTGCAGCATTCCTCGTGTTGTAGGTTGACCCACAATTTCAGGATTTTGACCCAGTGACAGTAAAGGAATAGCAATGTATTTCCAAGTCAGCATAGTGAGTGCTCTGAGGGGGTAGTATTCCCATGTATCTTATGCCTTTGTTCTTCTAGATGGAAATGGTCGTCAGTTTGGCGCTGTCTAAATAGCTTTGGTGAATTTCTGCAGTGCATCTTGTAGATGGTTCACACAGTTCAGAGTTCACAATTCGTGCATGCTGCCAGAACTGCTAAGTTTCTCTAGCAATTTCAGTTTTTATCTCCAATTTCTAGCATCTGCAGTATTTTGCTTTTATTCCAGGACTTGTTGGTTTGTTGATATTCAATCCTTCAAACCTCTATGATTCTGTTAAAAGGCAAGGCATTTCTGTGGAGTTACAAAAAACAAACTCTACTGATGCATAAGGGTAGATGTGCTCACAAAACATTGCCTGTAACAAGAGTATTAGTGTACGCGAAGTACAGGGTGCACAGCAGGGATGGGACAAATGCAGAGTGTGGGGTATTCACACTGTATATGGGAGTGTGTACAGGCTCTCTTACCCTTCTGACTCCTCTCGGCGAGCTGCTTCCTCCTGTTGATCCACCAGCCGATCCCGAGCTTCCTGAAGGTCCTGTTGAATCTGCTCCAGCTTTGCCTCGAGCTCCTGGTTGATCACTTTGAGTTTTTGGTTCTCAGCAATGGCCTCGTCCTGTTTACTGCGCAGAGAGACAAGCTCCTCCTGTAACTGGGAGCAGGAACACACAAAGGCACCGCATTCAATCAGCATTTATCGCGTAACCATTCACAAAAATTATCCTGGAAATTGCTAGACTCTCTGCCTCTGTGTTGCCCACTCTCAAGAAGACGGTGATGGTAATGCCACTGGACTACATGCTGAGGACAATGGGGTTTAAAAGCAGGGATTCAATCCCACCATAGCAGCTCGTGGAACTTAAATTCAGTAAATAAAAACAAGTCTCAGTGACACCAAATGATCATCAATTGGTGTAAACACCCATCAGGTTCACTAATTCCCTTTAGGGAGGGAAATCAGCCATCCTTACCTGGTCTGACCTCCAGATCCACGGCATTGTGCTCAAACTTTACCTGCCTTCCAAAATAGCCGAGCAATCCACTTTTGTTCAAAGGCCATTAAGGATGGGTGACAGTGACAACCACACCCCTATGAAAGAATAAAGAAATACCTCTCTGTCCTAGTTCTCCATCTGAGAATTAGTGAGGAGTTGCAGGATTTCAATGATGTGCAGTTTCCTGTGACCCCTCCATAGAGACTCACAACCAGCATCCTCATTCATAATGGCACAAAAATTATATTCTTGATAATACTTACTCTCCAAAATCTCTCTGCTGGTCTCTCTAAATCATTGCTCCATCTCTCTTACTTGCTCCCAGCTTCACCTCACTCTTCCTCTTTCTGTATCCATCTTCTTCTACAACTGTTCACACCCTGTCCTCCATTCCCATAGTGCAGCCACAAAGTCATAGAGCTGTACAGCACAGAAACAGACCATTTGGTCCAATTTGTCCATGCCGACCAGATATCCTAAACTAATCTAGTCCCATTTGCCAGCATTTGCCCCCTATCCCTCTAATCCCTTCCTATTCATATACCCATCCAGATGCCTTTTAAATGTTGTAATTGTACCAGCCTTCACCACTTCCTCTGGCAACTCATTCCATACACGCACCACCCTCTGTGTGGAAAAGTTGCCCCTTAGGCCCCTTTTAAATCTTTCCCCTCTCACCTTAAACCTAGGTGCGCTAGTTTTGGACTCCCCTACCCTGGGAACAATACCTTGTCTATTCACCCTATCCATGCCCATCATGGTTTTATAAACCTCTATAAGGTCACCCACAGCCTCCAATGCTCCAGGGAAAATAGCCCCAACCTATTCAGCCTCTCTCTAGAGCTCAAACCCTCCAAGCCCGGCAAGTTCCTTGTAAATATTTTCTGCACCCTTTCAAGTTTAGCAACATCTTTCCAAAGCAAGGACACCAGCATTGCACACAGTATTCCAAAAGTGGCCTAACTAATGTCTTGGACAGCCACAACTTGACCTCCCAACTCCTGTACTCAATGCACTGACCAATAAAGGCAAGCGTACCAAACATCTTCTTCACTGCCCTGTCTACCTGTGACTCCACTTTCAAGGAACTATGAACCTGCATCCCCAGGTTGAATTATTCAGCAAATTACATAGAATCATAAACTCATACAGTCATATAGCACAGAAACAGACTCTTCAGTCAAACTCGTCCATGCCGACCCAGTTTCCCAGTTTGCCTGTGGTTGGCCCATATCCCTCTAAACCTTTCCTATTTACGTACCTGTCCCACTGTTCACTGCCCTCCCTCCAATCCCACAGTGCTCAAAGACTGAATTATTCAGCAAGCTATAACCCCACCTAATTTCCAAAACACATCCCTCCCCAGAACCTAAGTGGAAATTTGTGTAAGTTAAGGTCATCGGCCAAGTTTCAGTTGTTCTGTTGATTAGACCTCCCCAAATTGTCTTGGTTTAACTTTCCCTGAAGCTGAAGCTGACACAAAGTCAGGCCTTTGTGAGGTGAGAGACTGTCTCTGATTCACAGGGGTTTCAGGCCTGGCCTGGGCCCTTTGTCCCACAGCTCGATGAGGAGACCTGAGTGTCTCTGTGGGGGACTGCGCTCGGGGGGAACCAGTTCCTGCTGGACTGAGGCCCTCCCTCCGGCTACAGCTCTCACGGTGGGGACACCTGCTCCCTGGGCCCAGCTACCTCTTTCATTCTCTCTGCTGCTTCGTCACTTCCTGAAGATGCTGCTGGTTCCTCAGTGACTCCATCTCCGTCATCGCCCATCGCCACGGTCACACCCTGACCTTCGACCCTCAGGTGAGTGAGTGCAGGGTCCTCTCCCAGGGGGGTCGGTTTTTGGGTCACACGGCGTCGGATGGAGCGAGTTCTCTGAAGTCTGTCAAGGAAATTCAGGGAAAGAGGGAATGGGAGAGAGAGAGGGAGAGGGAGAGTTGTTATTTTGTGCTGAACAGGAGTTTTTGCAACACGACCGATGCTCCAAACACATCCACTCACCTCCCCTCAACCAGAGGGAGAATGGAACACAACGTATAGTCAGTGTAAAAATAAACTGGATAAAGGCCTGACTTAGTTAATTGGGTGAAGCAGCTCCAAGAGTCAAACAGTCCATTGCTGTTGCCATGAAGCTCTGCTGGGGGCGCAATTCAGGAATTCCAGGATTCATACCCATGGGTGTATGGGGGGCAGTGATTGGAACATGTGGGGCTGGGTAAGGAGCTGGGAACATGTGTGACACGTCGATTGGAGGATCCAGGGAGGGGAATTCACACAGTCCCCTCAGTGTAGAAGCAGGCCATTCGGCCCATCGAGTCCACACCGCCCCTCCGGAGCGCATCCCATCCTGACCCATCCCCTACCGTACGACTGCATTTCCCACCCTAGTCACGATGAGCAATTTCCCATGGCCAATCCACCTACCCTGCACATCTTTGGATTGTGGGAGGAAGCCGGAGCACCCGGAGGAAACCCACGCAGACATGGGGAGAATGTGCAAACTCCACACAGATAGTCGTCCGAGGCTGGAATTGAACCTGGGTCCCTGG